ATAATCCTGATTGAGGTTGACATCGCTAGTCAGGACAGATTAACAGCAGTCGAGACCGAGAAAAAGCGAAAATATAACCAACTTGCTAATTAGCTTGGGTCAGAGATGAAGTATAAGGACCAAAATAATTCCATATGTGATGACTTGGGATGGGATTGTAACGAATTTCCACAAACGCTGCGCGAAGGAGATTAGTATATCAGACCATGTCGAGGCATACATCAAATCGAGAGTTCTCAAGAAGACGCTCGAAAGCGTCTCCTTCAACAGTTAATACGGATTCCACGGGGACGAAGCGAGAACGACGAGTACAACAAATCTGAGCGCGAGACAAGTACTGCCAAAGTGCCGTGATGCGATCCAGCGCCAGAACCAATAAAGCGAAAATTAAAACTAACCTCCAAATTTTATTTATTTAATTATACTAATAATTATTATTTTATTAAGATATAACTATAGTGTACTTAAAAAATGCAATATTTTTAGTAGCTACTGTAATTCTGGTATCTGGTAATTTGTCTCGCACTCACAAAATGAAAACATTTCATACAGACAACACTAATAGTATGATACAATGGCTTTTTTGTTGAACATGAAACTGAGAAATCAAAAATTCAAATAATCTGAAGACAAAACTTTCTACATTTGCAGTAATCTGTGCTATGAACAATTTGTTGTAATACAAAAAATAACTGCATTTATACATGGAATACCCGCTGTAAGGTACGAATGTCATTCGACAAATGAGTGAATTTCTTATGTCTTTTTTTGTATTTCTATTTGTTTTGTTTTTATTTTTTGTGATTGCAAAGCATCTGAAATGGAGAAAAAAAATGAGCACTAATTGAGATTCTCATATTGTGACTTTGACTTGTAATTATAGCTTACGTGAATTCGTTTAACTGCTATAAATTTTGAGCATGAACTTAGAATTCAAGTAAACTTTGGTCAGCATTTTATATTCAAATATCACAATATTTAACCGGAATAGGAGGCCGAATAGATTCATTCTCCAACACGTTTAAAGTTCGGGTTTCAACATAAAACGTCATAGCAAATCCTGGTTTTGTTCTAACTGATTCCACGTCCGTAAACTTTTGCGATTCATTTTTCTTACATTGCGGTGGCTAAAACACAAGTAAAATAATTGGTACAAGCAAATAGAATTTAAACATGAATTTAGACATTTAATATCTATTAAAAAATAAACCACTCAATGCTTAAGAAATTTGAATTACTTGTTGTATAGTATTTTATAAAGATCACATTATGTAGTATTTCAGCTTTTTTAATAAAATTTGCATAATTTGCAACAAATTATATTACAACACTTACGATCATTTGTTTGCATGAATCTTCACTTTCCATATCACAAAGTGAAATATGACACTGGAAGACGACGTTGCCATCGCCAGGAAACTTGAATACACTCATTTCTTTGAAAACATAAACTCTATTTTTTCTTTGGCTTTCGAAAAATCTTGCATAGTCCGGAGTTTCCAAGAAATGTGGATCTATCTCACATCTGAAAAGAATTACAATTTTAATGCTATTTATTTATGAATTCAATAAATTCATTGAAATTACCCGTTAGAATCGACAATTTGCACATTTTTGGTTTCTGATCTAACGTAACAATCATGAACCAGATAAAAATAATTTGGTGCTGAAAAATAAACTTCATTAATTGAATAGTGATTACATTTATGAATTTTACACTCCAAAATTAGTATTAAACTCTAAAGATTCTAATATTAATGTGTTTTGTACTTCACTTTAGTTCATTTATACGAGAATGAGATCACATTATGTAGTATTTCAGCTTTTTTAATAAAATTTGCATAATTTGCAACAAATTATATTACAACACTTACGATCATTTAAGTAATATATTACAGTAAATAATAGATCAAGTTATTCATTGTTAAATATTACTTTACAGAAATAAATTTATTGCGGCGGCAATGGCAATAGCACAGTTTATGATAGTTAAGAATAATTAAGTAAATGTCCAGCTATATCATTTATGTTTTGCTGTAATAAATAAAATGATTTTATGTTTAATTTGATGTTCATAAGTAGACTTACGACTATCACATTCCCATCTGTGATAAAGCGATTCACCAACTTTGGCGTCTAAAGCGACGCACTGGTCAGGTGCAAATCGATGAAGTCGGTAGGAACATTCAGTATCGCTAAGTTTTTTAATAGATGATCTACCTAGTTCTTGTTGTGGTACAGGTTGCTTGTGGAAACAAGATACACTTAGACCCTATAAATTGATCTCTTTCAACTTTGACATTAGTTATAATTGAAACAATTAACTTGATAATAATAAATACTAGTTTATTATGCTTACAGATTAGTGGCTATGTTATGCGTTTTGACCACTCAATCATTCAGTTCATGAATTAGCCACTACATAATAGCTAATTATTTGCAAAAATGTTTTCAGATAAAATCAGATGAAAGTTACTACCTGATCAGCTCGAGTAATAATGACAGGGTGAAACTGAAGTATCACTGTAATATTGTACACATATCCATCTTGCCTCTGAAAGCAAACTCGTTTAAAATTTTAGCTTCAGAAAATCCAATTTCATATTTTAAAAAAATCGTTTTTTTCTAGGTAAAAGTTGGTATTGAATTGAAGTAAATAAAAACCATTGATGGTGCTTTCTGTAGACCACAGCTATTCTCCTCAAATTTGATTGAGATTTCTCGAGATGATCCATCGGTAGTCTGAAACAAACATTCTGTATCCCAAATTTTTTTATTTTTTCAAAATAAACATGTCAGTCACTGATGTGTAATTAGATATCATAACTTCAACATACAAAATTAGCAAAACAGGACTCACCCTGACGCATTTCATATCATTGAAGTATTCTTGCGCATACATTAAGCCTGTCATTGGACGTTGAGTTCGAACAACAAAGGTAAGTGAACTGTGATCACAAGTAACATCAGTAGCTCCACGGACACGCGGTTGTGGATCAGGTCCAAGATCTATACCGAGACAGCCGAAACCGATGAAAGGAAGGAATCTACTCTCGAAATCCTAAAATTGTACACTTTTTTCTATCAAATAGTCATAAACTTTTTAGATAAGTATGCAGACGGAAAAAAACGTTGTCATAATTATTAAGCTGTGAAATACACGTCACGTCATTACGATGAAATTTGTTTTTTTGCTTGAGAACTTGGAAAAAAAAGGTTTGTAATTTGCACACCACATCATATTATATGTAATAGTGATAATGAAAGTCCTTGTTTAAATAACAACATATTTTGTTTAGATTTTTGTTTACAAAATCGAAATTGCATACATAATGCTAACCTGTAAATTCATAGGCGTAAAAACGTGATCAGGATTTTGTGTAATCATCACAAGTTCATTTTCATCTGCATAAGGTGGTGGAGTCATTGATATCGCTAATATTTCTACACCTTCATTTGCAAGACGTAAAGCTACTTCTTGTGGTGACTTTTGTGAATGTCCATCAGTAAATATGATTATCATTTTTTTTACTCCTTTACGTATTCCTGAAATTATTAAATTATACTCATGATAACATCTGTATTTCAATTTTTTTACAACTACATCATTTTTATTTCTTTTTTTTTGTGCCTAATTTTTGAATTTAAATTGAAAGCATGTAAAAGCAAGCGTACCACTTTCGATATCACTGAACAGCTCGTAAGCTTCGTTTAAGGCCATATTTGTTGAGGTGGTACCTTTGTTAGATTTCAACGATTTTAAATGCCTGATAACTGCTGTGTTATTGCCAATTTGTACATCATTGAATTTGAAGTGTAGATGTACTTGTCCTGAGTACGTAATCAAAGCAAGCCTGCAACACTGCTCGATATGCATATTACTTATATTTAGAACTTAGAATTGATATGCATATTACTTATATTTAGAACTTAGAATGAAAAAGTGATTAATGTGAGTTAATGTGAGTAATATGTTATGCACATATTGCATACATATTGTAATTGGCTTGAATTGAATTTGGAAAATACCGGGAATTTTTCGAGAAATATTGTTGAAAAAACAGTTAATCGTACTCATTTAACTTGCAAAATTCCTAGCAAATCAAGTTATTCGCAAATGCGATCTAATCATTTTGCTAACTTTTTTGACATTACTGCAATTTTATATTTGGGATATTTAAGAAAAAATGAGCACATTTTGAAGGCAAAAACTGACTTGCTTTTGATTATTTGAATAACTAAGCCATTTTAAGGCTCAGTTATTCAAATAAACAATTATAGTGTTTGGAAGTTTTCGAATGAACTTTGAAAGCTAATATGTATTTTTATTTTACTATTAAATTAACCAAAGTGTAAAAAGTTGAATCCTTTATGCTGTCATTAACAGTTTATTTATTTAAGCAAGTAATGGTAAATTAAATTATAGTATCACCTAACAGCATCAGGATGAACATTAATATTCTGAACAACCCGTTCTATAGCAAATTGGATTTGTTCATCAAAAAGCCGCGCAACTGATTCAGAAGAATCGATTATCACAATCAGATCAAGCGGTTTATCAGATCCAGCGACACAAGCTTAAAGTTTAGCTTTTCACTCACTTTCTACAGATCAGCAAGAACAAGTTTTTATTGAACTTCAACTAAGCAATTAAAATATATTAACTCAAAATGTAAACAACCTTTCAATTTCGATCTTTATTTACGCAAGGAAAATTTGTACAATTTTTGTCATTAATTACTATTTCGATTGCCAAAAGTAATAATAATTTTTAATTTTTCGGTAATATTAATTAAAAAAAAGTAAACAGTCACATTTTGCTGATTGACCCAAAGTTTTAGTCATGTACTAAAGAATTGCGTGATCAATGTTTGAAAATTTGACAAAAGATTTTAATTACATTAATTGTTTCAAATTAAATGCAAAGCAAAGCAAAGTGTTTCTGAATAATTCAGAAAATGTTCAATACGTAATGGAAATAAAATTTGTTCTGAATAATTCAATTAATTTTTTAATATAAAACTTAATTACTTAATTGACTTTATTTTTATTTGTTTCAATTTCAAATATCAATACAGTGGTATAATTTCGAGCGATACAAATCAAACAAACCAGGCAGTTCTTCGCAAACTTCAATACCCTTCCAGCGATCGAACAGTGGTTCTAAATCGTGCAAGTTTTGATTTGTTATAATTTTCGTTGGATCCTAAAAGAAAATCAAAATTCGAAATGTTAAAGTTCAGTTTATTCACTGCAAAAGTAAGCAAAGCTTTATTATAAACAATAAATTAACAATCAAAATAATAATTTATGGTGTTTTAGACAATTTTAACTATAAAAACTTATTAATAAAAAATAAAGTGTTTAATTTGCTAGAAAAAAAGCCTGGAAATGACGAAGTAATATATAATGTCAATAATTATTATCTATTATAATAAAAAGGTTAAGTGAAAATTAAAGTTCACTTAATATTTGGTGTCAAATTTTTTTAAAGTTTGGAACAATTTAAAAAAAAAAATAGTTGATAAAAGCCTAAAAACCACAATTCTAAGC